TGCTGGTGGCCCTCGTCTACGTGGTGGCTCTCCTGTATGAGGAGTGAGTAGAGCTGTGTGGAGTGGGAGATGGATGTGATAGCCAAGTCAGGCCAAGCCTCTCATTTAGAGCTGCTTCATGGGGCCTGGCGAGCTTCACCAGCCTGCTGCTGGCCTGGCTCAAGAGGCTGGGGGTGGGGAGGGGACACTTGGTACCTGAGACCTAGGCCGGCAAGCAGGTGGTCCTGGTCCCTCCAGGCCCCTCTTGCTCTTTGAAGCCTCTGGGAAAGTTCTGGGAGACAGTGGGAATGTGGGTCCTATCCTTACTGGTGGGGTAGGTTCTGGCGCTGGGGTGCAGTAGTGTCCTGGAACAGCCTACTGGAACCTTTTCCTGCCCACAGGCCCTTCACTGCTGAAATCTACCAACAGAAAGCCACCAGGCTGCACAAAAGGAGCTAACAGGGCCGTGGGGGATCTGTGGACAGCCGGACTGGCCTCCCGGCTGCTCCGGGCATCAACCATGCTTGGGGAGAGCAGCACTGGCCACTGCGCCTGGGCCTTGGAAACCAGTCGTGGGGACCCCAGGCCTTATGCCGTGTGACCACTGAGCCTCCCATCCCCACCATGCCCCGACACACTAATAAAGGCATTGTGACCTCAGCACCTCTCTGGGCCCCTTTCCATCTGGTCCCAGGAGGGAAGACAGGGCATGGGCTCTAGGTTGTAGGAGGACTGGGCAGGGCAAGAAGCATTACATCCCTGGAGGGCTTCTGGCCCAGACTGGTTTGGCCCTTTCTTTCCCAATGCAGCTTCCTAGTGCTGTCTGGGATTCACAGAGAACTGTTTCTCAAAAGACTTCAGCAATAGGCTGGAGCCACAGCCTTTCCTGGGCAGCGGACACCCTGTGTCACCTGCCATCCATGCCCCAGCACTCACGGGACATGCCCTCGCTGCTGGGAGACCCAGTTCATCCTGAGGGTGGAGGTCTATCGGGTTGACAGTCATTCCACGAAGATTGCCATCCAAAGGCAGGAGCTAGTGGCTTACCCCCCGCCCCGTGTCCACCCGAGCTGGGTAAAATTCAGCTGGAGAGATGGGCTGTGTAGGCAGGGCACAAATGACCAAGAAAGTGTGGTCAGAAGTTGACACTGGGCATTAGAGGGGACAAAGGACAGCCTTCCTCTACTCCTGGCACTGTATGGCCATTAGCAGCTGGGCCCACCTTGACCCCTAGGACTCCAGGTTCCTGATGGATGGCTTAGGGGTACCTAAGCTTGCTGGACTTTGGGGTGATTGTCCCAACTCACCAGAGGCCCTCATCCCTTAGTCTCAGTTGCTTTCCTTTGTCAGGGCTCCTCACTGGCCCAGAAAGCCTTGTGAGATTTGGGGAGTCCAAAGGATCAGCCTATGTCCATTCTAGCCCAAGGCTGTGAAGCCTCAGGGGCTCATGGGACAGTATCTAAGTGCTTCCCTCACCTGACATCTTGTTATTGTCACCCAGGACCCTGGCCAAGGTTTGCATGGATTTTTACAAGTGCCCTGGGCCTACCAACTCACTGTGCATGGGTCTCCCGGCTCACATTTCCAGGCCCTCTGAGGAGGCTTGAGCTTCCCCTCCCAGCCCCAGGCCAGAGCACCCGCTGGAGTCTCAGATTAGGCAGACAAGGATGACACCTTTTGCTGGTGTGGCCTCAGATTCTTGTTGCCCTGGGTCCTTGACAGAGTCTAGGGCTGTCATCCTGAGCCCTGCCCTCCCTCATACACCTCTGGTGGGTGGAAGGTGCCAAGAGTTAGCGAAGCAATCACGCTTCACCTGTGTCCTCACTGTAGCTAGTCCCAGGCAGGTCCCATCCCACAGCCCTGGCAGATGGCCTGCTAAGCCCAGGCCAGAGAAACACTGGTACCGTTGGTACCAAATGGAGCAGAGATGGCTCCGTTGCCAACGCTGCCCCTTATCCAGTCCTCCACACCAAGGGAGCCTCAGCTCTGATCACTGGTGTCCCCGCATGTACCTACTGGCTCGCTTGCCAGGCTGTGGGTTTGGGCAGAGGGAAGAGGCAGCTCCAGCCCCCTGACAACTGGGTAGAGGCAACAGACAAGGCACACATGGAGGTGATATGATTTCAGAGGTGAGAAGGAGCTGCAGAGGGTTCTAGGGAGAGGAATGGGAACCTACAGTTTTTTTCTCTGAGAACAGAGGGCCATATGTGTTCTTGTCATACACTCAGCAGGACTGGGCACGTGTGTCTGAACCCCAGCGTGTCAGTCAGAGTCCAGCAGGAGACAGAGAGGGGATGGAGCCCATGGGAGGCTCCGCAGACCGAGATAGCCCGGTTGCCAGAGAGCTAGGCCTGCCTCCCAATGAGTTGGCCCCATTGCTTTGAGCCCAGGCCACGTCAGTTCATTGTGGTGGGAGCACACAGTAGGGCAAGCTGCTCACCTGATGGCCAAGAGTAAGTAGCAGATGAGAAGGGCTGGGGCCCCACAATCACATTCAAAAAGGCACCCGGCCCCACCTCTCAAAGGCTTCTCAAGAGCACACTTTGGGGACCCAGACTTCCAACCTCCAGACTCTGGCAAGTGACCATATTTGGTGAGGTCCTTGCTGGTAGAGACTGCAGAGTCCCAGAGTGTCCCTAGGGCATTGCATGATGGGACCACACCTGTGCCCTGCTGGACTCACCTCCCTGCTGCTCTTCTAATGTGGGGAGAGCTGGACCAGATCTTTGACCTGCCACTTCTAATCTTTTTTTTGTTGTTTTTGTTTTTCAAGACAGGGTTTCTCTGTGTTAACAGCCCTGGCTGTCCTGGAACTCACTCTGTAGACCAGGCTGGCCTCAAACTCACTGAGATCCGCCTGTCTCTGCCTGCCGTGTGTTGGGATTAAAGGTGTGCTCTACCACTGCCCAGCTCACCCACCCTTCAATTCTTATCCCTTGGATCTCCTGGGACTGGAGATCCAGGGGAATGGTGACATTGGCTCTGGCCATCGTGAGTCAGGGCCACAGCCTTCCACACAACGCCTTCGGGAGGCAAAGGCAAAGGGCCTCCTCGGTCTGGGGTGAGCAGCCCTCACTTGCTGCCTTGAGGGGCCCCTTCCTGCAGCGAGCACCCTGTACATACATAGCAGTCCTGTGCTTGGCTTGGGCTCAGGTCCTTCTCACAGATGAGGACAGACACCCCAGATGGAGAAGGGAGGGAGCATCGGCAGGGGCAAGAACCGAGAGCGGTGAAGGACTCACCCCACCTGGCCTGTCCTAGATCTAGCCAATGAGGCCCGGGTTACTCAATGGCTATGGATGTTGAAGCAGCCTGGGAGGGAAGGGGAATGAATATGGATGTCCTGCTGGACTGAAATGACCAGACAATTACAGCAGCCTCCGTAGTGGGCACTGTTGTGGGGGGCACAAGCAGAGGTGTAGACAGGACAATGAGAACCAGGTGGCCCAAGCCCCAGGCCTGCTTGCTAGGTAAGCAGCTTGCTTCTTTGAGCTTTAGTGTCTTCACCTGTGAAGTACAGAGTGCTGCTTCTCTGTCTCCAAGGAGGGTATTATCACAGGACCAGGACCACCAAATCAACACCCCCAGGCCATGTAGCGCCGGGCAGGACGGCTGCTGCTGCTGCTCTACAGAGGCTGAGCTTCTGCTGAGATCCTGGGTCATAAGGAAGGGATGAAAACCTTGGGGGCACTATGCAAATATCTCAGCAGGTGGGAATGACTTAGCCCTGCTCCTGGGGCACAAAGACTACCTGCTTGGGTGAGTGGCATCTGTCAGCTGGTGGGTCTCTGGGCTTCTCCTAATCAGACAAGGTCAAAACAAAATGAAAACAACAGCTTGACTTCATCATCACCAGTTACAAGCAGCCAACACATCCTATTTCCCCCCCAGCGTTACTCAGTCCTGGTTACTGATCAACCCGCTGCTGGCTTCCTCTTTGGGCAGCCTCCCTGGTACTGTATACTTTTATTGTTCTGACCAGGCCTGGATCTTGGAAAGTGTTTGCATTTATAATTTCACAATCAAGGAACCAATGTCATCTTCCAGAAAGGGAAACTAAGCTACGGAGAAGGGCGTGCTCTCAAGCCCCACACAGCTCCCTCAATGCAAAATGAGATGATTGGCCCACAAGAGAGAAAAGGCCAGAAAGCCGTAAGAGAAGACGGTAGGGGGATGCAGTCCTAGGATTGATTTTTTTCTTTCAAGGGAGTGTCTCTAAGTATGTTGTCAAGGACAGATAATGGTAGCTGTCCCTTGCTGAGGTCCCCACAGACCAGATTATCTCTAGCTAGGAGAATAGAACGCAGGAGTCGGAGGAGGTCGGTTTCAGTTGGCTTCCTGCCTTACACCTTACAGCTCCTCTCCTTGCCACAACTTTCGGCCTCCTAGCGTGCCCGCGGGGCTCTCTGCTTCCCTCTGGTGGCAGAAGCGCAAGGCGCGGAACCTTAGCGCAGAAAAACCCCAAAACACCGAACACAACGCCCGGAAAGTTGGCACGAACCCGGGTACCTAAGGGGCTGGCGCTGGGGCAAATGCCCAGCAAACATGTTGTTATCACCAAATCATATTTTCTGGGAAACCGTGGCCCAAGGAAATTGAGTGTCCGCACATTGGTGTTGAGAGAATGGGGATCCCAGAGGTCAGAGAGTCACCCGCACAGCCAGGACCCCTGCGGCCGAAGCTGGGAAGCGCCAGATCCTCGCATTGCGGTAGTTTGGAGTTAGTTTTCCTCCCCAGCGCACGTAGGGCTGGAGCGGAGCCGCAGGCTCCAAGGCGGAGGTCGCTGTGTCTGGGAGGAGCAGGGCGCGCCCGGGGGCGGGACGTGACGCACCTTGGCTGGGAGGTGCCAGCCCCGGCGCTTCGGCCGGCTGCATATAAGGGCGGAGTGGGGCGCTGAAAGCCAGAGCTCGCTGTCTCCAAGCGCCCAGCCAAGCTCGAGCGGTCCTGAAGCCAAGCCCTTCCACCACTCCCGAGCCTCTGCCTTCTCTCGGCCCCCCGTCTGCCCCCGGGGTCTCTCTGCCCAATGAAACTGGCCGCGATGATCAAGAAGATGTGCCCGAGCGACTCTGAGCTGAGTATCCCTGCCAAGAACTGCTACCGGATGGTCATCCTCGGCTCATCCAAGGTAGGCAAGACCGCCATCGTGTCGCGCTTCCTCACGGGCCGCTTCGAGGACGCCTACACCCCTACCATCGAGGACTTCCACCGAAAGTTTTACTCGATCCGCGGCGAGGTCTACCAGTTGGACATACTGGACACGTCCGGCAATCATCCATTCCCTGCCATGCGGCGCCTCTCCATCCTCACAGGTGAGTTGGGGGGCCGGCTGGGACCCTGAGGTCGGAGTCTTGGGGTTGGGGGACTGGTGTGTCGAGCATGGAGCCGGGGCTGTACGATGTTTAACGCCTGACAACCGCCCTCACCTTTCCCACTCATTTCCCTATAGGAGACGTTTTCATTCTGGTGTTCAGCTTGGACAACCGCGACTCATTCGAGGAGGTGCAAAGGCTCAAACAGCAGATTCTGGACACCAAGGCGTGTCTCAAGAACAAAACCAACGAAAATGTGGACGTGCCCCTGGTCATTTGCGGTAACAAAGGGGACCGGGACTTCTACCGCGAAGTGGAGCAGCGGGAGATTGAGCAGCTGGTGGGCGACGACCCTCAGCGTTGTGCCTACTTCGAGATCTCAGCCAAGAAGAACAGCAGCCTGGACCAGATGTTCCGTGCACTCTTTGCCATGGCCAAGCTGCCGAGCGAGATGAGCCCCGACTTGCACCGCAAGGTGTCCGTGCAGTACTGCGACGTGCTGCACAAAAAGGCTCTGAGGAACAAGAAGCTTTTGCGTGCAGGCAGCGGCGGCGGCGGCGGCGGCGACCCCGGAGACGCCTTTGGAATCTTGGCGCCCTTTGCGCGCAGACCTAGCGTGCACAGCGACCTCATGTACATTCGTGAAAAGACCAATGTCGGCAGCCAGGCCAAGGACAAGGAGCGCTGTGTCATCAGTTAGGTGCCCCCAGCATCGGCCACACAACCCGAGGACCTTTTTTGTTCAAAAGTCAAATCGGATTCCCGGGCTAGCCCGCGCGCTCCGTGCCACGAGGGTGCCAACTGGCCTTCTCCCTCGCTCCCTGCGACCTAGCCCTGTGTACCGGGAGACGCTGCCAGACCAGTAAGGGACAGTCATCTGTTGGGAAAGGAAAGAGAACTGGCTAAGACTGGACTCTCTAGCCACTGATAACCCCCGCTGGTGCCTGCCCGCACTTGTGGGATGCCAGGACCCAGCAGAGGTACTTGGCTTTTTTCTCAGACTTGAGAATGAGAGTGTGTGAAGTTCATCAGCCTGTGAGACTTCAAGTATCTGTCCTGCCTGCTGAAGGGCCAAGACCAACAAGGCATTATCCTGTCTGTGATTGGTGTTGCCATGACAGCTGTCAGCCACTTCAGCCCTCCGCAAACTGGAAACTTTGGTGCGAGATGGGGGCTTTAATCATAGGCAAGAGATTTGTTTACATGTGTGTGTGGAATTGCTCAAAGAAAAACCACAAAACTTGCACTTTAATTTAGTTCCAGTGTCAACATGACATGAACAAAATCTCTACATTTCTATTGTGTGAAGTCTTTATTATTTTTTTATTTAAAATAAAATAATTTTAAAAATTGAAAATGTTTCCTTTGCTCTGGCTTTTAGGGAACTGGGACGGGACCTTGCCTTCTGGGATGTGCTCTAGACCTTTCTGGCTTTCTCTGTCCACTCTTTACCTATCCTGGCCTGTCACAGAGGGCCTCATTTCTGGAGATATATTCATATTCCTCTTCCACAGGGCCAGTTACTCAATCATGGCAGGCTACAGAAAGCCGTCACTCTGGAAGCTCTGATCCTGATCACAAATCAGGAGCCTGAGTCTGAGAGGGTACCTGGGAAGCTGCCAATGCTAGATGCTTGCCCCCTGCCCCAGGGTTGCTTGCAGGACCTAGTAAAGTGCAACAGCTTGCAGTGTAGCTTCCCAAAGCACTCACCAGGTGAGACCCATCTCCTCTGCATTTTGCTGTCTCCCTCTGTGGTAAGGGCTCATGGCTTGTGACCCAGATCTCCTGGTGTCAACTTAGGGCAAGTGTCACCTTCCAAGCCTCCAATTCTGCAGCTGAGAAACAGGTATTGTGTGGGGATCAGCATGGTATCTCAGGATCAGCACCCCATGAGCCAGGTACTTGGTGGTTTTCAAGAGGGTCTGGAGCTTCAAGGGATGCTCAGGACTGTCCTGGGGTGGGAGGCTTCAGCCTGCTTTGGGAAGGGCCACTTCCAAGGAACTGTACCACTCAAATCACAGGGAAGCACCCACTTCTCAACAATGGATGGCAGAATGCACGTGCTGGGTGGAGGAAGAAGCAGCCATCTTGCTTCTACACTACCCATCAACAGTCCATTCTAATTCTGCGTCATAAAACCTGAAATCCTGGGGTCTGACGCCTAGCACTGCTAGGGGAAGAAAAGAGACAGAGGCAAACCATGTGTCTTGGGATCAGAGCATACTTTAATTACATGTCTGAAAACGTGGCAGGTCGGCACACTGGAGCAGAGAAGACTCATCTCCCTCCAGCCTCTGAGGAACCCTTCTCTCCGCCTATGGGAGGATCTGAAACTCCTGCATTTCGTGTGCTCTGTGCTTCACAGAAACCAGGCAGAGCCTTAAAACTGGCTCACCTACTGCTCAAACTTTCTAGAAAATAACTGATTCAGTTAAATAACAGTTCCAAGGTAGATGCGGCTTAATTGGCACCCTCCACTCAAATTCAGAGCCCTCTTTTCTGCCCAAATGACTGGAACTCAACACCCTCTAACACACATCCCAGGGCCCAACTGTGAGGCATCTTGGACAGAACCCTGCTAAAAACAGTCCAGCCAGCACTCCTGCCAACAAGGCCACTTGGCAGGCACCTGCTAAGTCCTAAACTGGTCAGCCCAGGCTGTGCTCATTTCAAGATCCAAAGAATACTGGGTACTCTCACCTTACTCCCGAGAGAGAAAGGGCCACCCTGCCCTCAGTGTAACAGCCTGGGAGGGAGAGAACACAGTGTTCCACCTGGGACTAGCTGGGCACACTCTACAACACAGCTATGGAACCCCCAGGCTTAGCTCCCCCTGCCCTTCAGACCTAACTCAGACCACACACACCCATGGCTGAGGAACCACCCGATTACTCCTTCCAACCACTCTGCTTCCAACCAGAAGTGTGCAGGGACATGTGCAGGGCAGCGAATGTGGCTGACTCCTTGGCTAGAGGGGAGATGACGCTGTAAGCCAGGGCCTATGAATCAGGGCAGAGCTGCTTACTTAACAGCCTCTTTGAGCCAGCGTGGGAAGAACAAAGGGCCCCAGGCAAGCAGTGCTTTGGCTATTCTGAGCACTGCCCGGAGTGATGGAGATAAAGGGAGCAAGAGCCTATAAGGTTAGTATGCAGGAGGCTGGAAACTGGAGTTGGTGGCTGGCAGGACTCTGGGCAGACGCCCCGGAGATACAGTTTCATTCAGTAGCTCAAACAAAAAAGGAAGTGAACTGTTTGGCGCGGGGGGGGAAGCCACCCACCCTCTGGCCTTTCAAAACAACGTTCACACTCTCCTAACCTTCTTTAATTATATTAAATTCATGCCATCTGAGTGCAGGCCTAATTTACCCCACGAATTCTATGCAAATGCTTCAGGAAACTGCTGTTAACGGGAACAGTATGTACCTGATACCCACTGATGGTATCGGGAGCGGGAGGAGCCGAGGGAAAGAAGGGAACGCGTCCTCCTCTCCTCCTGTGCCCTCTAGGTCTGCTGATGGGGCTGGGGCATAGCTAGTCAAGGCTGAGTACAGCCACTGAGGCTCCCGACCAGCCACATGTGGCCTCACAGTTTAGAGGGGGGCTCCCAAGGAGCTGGACAGCACCGGGTGAAGCTTCAGTTCCTTGGCAGCTGTCCTGGGAGCTGGCCCTACTCCTTGGGGATCTCAAACATGCAGAGGCTCTTGTACTTCTGCAGAAGCTCATTCTTGGTCCTGACTTGCTCCCGGAGGCTGTGAAGCTGCTGCTGTTGCTGCTCAGGGCTCACATGGATGCCGGGCATGGTGCCTATGAGCTTCCGCATCTCCTGGAACTTTGTTTTGAGAGCATTCAAGTCCTGGTGGAGATCTGGGCTGTCCTTGTCCATGCTATGGGCGGCAAGGGGAGCAGAAGGCAGTCAGTTATTAGCAGATGCAGCTCATCTCCACATGGGCTTCCTTGTTCTACACCCTCTGATACCTTTCAGAATGTTGTTTGACATGTCTGTCCCCTGACTAGGTTGCCCACCCCAGAAGAGAGGGATTGGTCTCTGGTTTTTTCTTTAGCTTGAAGTTAGATCATCAAACGGTCCCTTGACTAGCACAGTTGACAAATCAGGTACTTAAACTCTCTGCCCACTGAGGGCAGGGACCGAGCTTGCTTCATCACAGGTGTCTCGCTGGCCTGGCCCTATACACAGGGCAGTACACTCGGGAAACAACTGTGGATAAAGAATGCTTGCCCAAGTATGACAAGTTGAGTTTGGAGTCACATCACCCATGTAAAAGTAGAGGGGCACAGGTTGGGGGTGGGGTGTAGAAACAGGCAGATCTCAGAAGCCAATGGGCTAAAGTAGCAAGGCTCAGGTTCTGTGCAAGGGAATACAGTGAAGAGAGAGCAGGGCATCCAGAGTGCCCTCCTCTGGTCTCCCCAACCATACACATGCACCCACCACAATACACCAAACGGAAGTTTTCAAAACACCACCTGTCCAAAGAGTGACTGCCTGGAGAGCAGGGCCACAGCACGCTAATGAACACACCAGTACCAATCACCAGCTGCCTGCTACCCCAAACAAAGAACAGCAAACTTGCTGGCATGCTCCACTCCACCTGACCTCAGCCATTTCTAGGCTAACCAGGAGACTTTGAGTTAGCCGAACCTTCATTTCACTGAGGTGTGATGCTGGCTTAGGCTTTAGTTAACATAAAGACGAATTCCCATCGAGCTACTCATCAATTTAACTCAGCTACAAGTCACTGCAAGTTCTCAGCAGACAGGCCTTCTCTTCTACCGTGGTTCTGCAAATGCCTACTTCTGGGTCAAGTTCCTTGTGAAGGTGGATCATTCCTGTCCTTTCACAGCTGTGACCCACTCAGAGATCCCCACTCCTGCCACCAAAGCAAAAGCAAAACAAGAACAAAAACCCTAACAGCCGGGCGGTGGCTCACACCTTTAATCCCAGCACTTGGGAGGCAGAGGCAGGTGGATCTCTGTGAGTTCAAGGACAGCCTGGTCTACAAATCGAGTTCCAGAACAGTCAGAGCTGTTACACACAGAAACCTTGTCAGAATTTAAAATCCTCTTTTAAGAAAACTAGTTCACATTGCAAGTCTAGAAACATACAGTAAAAGCAAACAACAAAACTCACATAATTAAAACATGGAAGGAGGTTTATAGTAATACTTACTGTTCCTGAAACAAACCTAACCAGCCCCGAAGAAATTCTAATATAGAAAGCCAAATGTGGGCCATGTGTAAGATGCTCACTTCTGAAACTCTCCAAACTCAATAGACCCATTCTTTACCGGGTGAACTTTGGGGGAGGGGGTAGACTTCAGGAAAGAAAGAGAGAAGCATGGAGAAAGGCGCCTGGAGAGGGGACGGGCTGCAGGCCTCTGCAGCGGGCTCCTCACCTGCCCTAGTTGGTGGTGGTAAATAGCACAGAAGTCCTGGGGTGAGGAAAACACTCTATTCAGGAACCTGCTCAAACCAAGAGGGAAGCTGCTATGGAAGGATGGCTGTGAAAGAGTGAAATCCCCAGGCCTAAAGAAAAGGGTCAGGCCCCACAGTGAGGGAGTGAAAGTCGAAAGCGCTAAGTGGGGCTGCCTTTGTGCTCAGCGTTAGTCACTGCCCAACTTTAGAAGGGAAGAGAGAGACTAGGTCAGGAACGATGGAAATCATCCACATGAGGACAAAGTTAGAGCACCACGTCCACCTCCTGTGCTTTCTCAAAGGGTGGGCAGAAACACTACGGCCATGGGGGCACGAAGAGCAGGGCATCCTTTTAGCAGCCGCCCAGGCATTTAGGTACAAGTCCCAGGCTCTTGAACAAAAGCCTAGGAACAATGGGTGCATCTCAGAACACGCCGATTTCCCCCAATTTCTTTTTGGCACAGAAACAAACTGGCAACAAGTGAGCAGTGTGTCCTCCAGCAATGCAGAAACAAGAGGAGGTCATGGGTCAGCAGGCCAACCTCTTCTCAAACCGGACAGTCACCCTCCTCACCTCCGCTGACCTGACCTGGCCACCTACGTCTTCCTCCACCAAACTTTTGCCCTCCTCAGAAGCATGCCCGATCCTGCTCAGTCCTCTCTGTCCACAGCCTTTCCTCCCACTGTACCGACTCCAGCGGCTTTCACGTCCCCAGTCAAATGTTTCTCTTAAATATTAGTAGATACAGAGGCAAGAAATTCAAAATGATAGATATTAAGGCTTGGAAAAGGGAAGTCCCTTCAGTCCCAGTCTCAGAGACACCTGTGTTAGCATATGATGTAAACTGTTGTAGATCACCTCAAAATACATACAACCATGTGTAACTTTCGTTATTCTGACAGAAGCACATCAAATATGGTTCCCATTCTTGTCTTTTCACTTAATCCATATTGGAGGTCTTTCCACATTAATATGCATTTGATTATATTGTGAAAATATTTATGGGCCATTATCTGGAATGCCTGTAATTCATCAAAATGGCAATGGACATCGTATATCTGCATTTTTGTATAACTGTGCAAGTATTCTGGAAAGATAATGTCCTACCAGGGAGAATTCTGGGTCAAAGGCTTTATATAATTTTTTACATATATTGCGAGAATACCCTCTGAGCACAACAACACACACCTATAATCCCAGTTTCTTGGGAAACTGAGGCAGGAAGACCAAGTTGGAGGCCAGTCTAGGCAGCACAGGAAGATCCCTTCCTAAACATAAACACGTATCTCCTCAAAACTCATGGCTGTCTCTCCCGACTGTGAGCAATCTTATCTGGCTATTAGTGGCTACTTCCTGCCTAGCAGTGATCTGGTTTTCTCTGTAGTTCTGCCAATATCCACCAGGTTTTTGGTACAGTGGCTTTGGACTTCCCACACTAGCTTTCATTTGCCACAGGATTGCAGATGTTTTCAATCTCTTAGTGATCACTTACAGAAGATTCTGTTCCTTAGAGAAGTTTGAAAAAACTGCTTTACAGCATGCCTGTGGGCTTGTTCCCTCACTCCCAGCAACTAACTCCCACAGCCCTCTTTTCCAAGTCGAGCTCCTCCTCCAGCATCCAGATTTTCTCCCAGAGTCTGGGGAGCCTGCAAGCATCCACAGTGGAAATGCCATCTGCCTGCCTCTGTCTGCATCTACAAGGGGACAGCAGCCCTCACACCCTAAGGTGGCCCTCCCCAATACACTTCAGACAACCACTGCCACTGCTTCTTAGACACCCAAGTCCTCCCCTCCTCCTAATCTCTGTCCCACCCACCTTTAGAAATCCAAGTCTGGACAGGTCACTACATGAGCTGGGGGTGGCTCTCCACCCCAACATACCCATACTTTGGCAAATTCAACTGTGAAGGAGCCCACCAGGAGAGCACTCTTAACTTACTTTCCCTGGACCCCTTTTCCGGCAGCTTTTTTTTTTACTGTCTTTTCTGCTGGGGAAACCGCCCTTATGAAGGCCATCAGGGCCTGGGTAGTTCTCCTGTGAGTCTGAAAAGAACAGAGGTAGAGGCCAGGATGCAGCTTTTCCAAGCAGTCTCCAGACAGGCTCTAATGGCACCCTTTCTGCTCCAGGACACAGCGGAAGGAGTGGGCACTGGATGGACACAGTGGACACACGGCAGCGAACTGTGAATCCCAGACACGGTCTGTAGGGGCACTTCCTACACAGCCCAGCAGGCCTCAGCTGGCAAGGAGCCTGTGTGTGGGAAGAGGCAGGTCAGCAACACCCTGTTCCCATAATAGAGGTCTTGCTGACCTGCCATGAGCAGGCGGGAGGGATGCTTGCGCTCGTCACTTGAACTCCCTGTGCTGGGTCAACAAGAATGGCTCTCCTGTACCCACTAGCAACCTAAGACATCTGACAAAAGTATGACATTTAATTAAAGCCACATTGCTTAAGTACTCAAATCAACAGACTTACTAACTGGGTGGACCAAAAAGCGGCATCCAGGCAGGGACACCTCACTTCAGAATTGGTAGGCTCGGACGCTTCGTTTCAGTCTCAGATGAGACAAGCTGAATTTGAAGACCATGCTTTCTTTATTCCTCCTTTCTAGTCTATGCCCTTTGGAGCTTCACTGTATACAAAGAGGGGCCTCAAAGAGTGGGGTTTATAATAGTTCTTACAAGCATTTCCTCTCCTCATTCTTTCAAACTTCAAAAACCAGGCCAGGTGTAGTGGCACATACCTTTATCTCAGCACTTGAGAGGCAGAGGCAGGCACTTCTCTATGAGTTCAAGGCCAGCCTAATCTATATAGTAGTTCCAGGACAGCCAGGGATACATAGAGAAACCCTGTCTCACAATAATAAGTATACAGCCTGTAAATTCTAGCACTGGCATTGAATCCAGGGCTTCATGATTGACAGACAAGCACTGAACCACTAAGTTACATCCTCAGTCCTCTTCAATTTCTACTGCCTAGGTAGGCCTTGAACTCACAATCCTCTTACCCAAGCCTCCCCAGTGGCTGGGATCACAAGGTTGCACCACCAGGCCTAGCAAACATGTAGTTCACATAATTGTTCACTCAACTATGGAAAGATGATGGGCGCAAAGCCAGTATTTGGACTCCAACTCTAAGCAGGGCTGTTTCAGCCAGTTTCCAGGGACCAGGCGGAGTCACAGGGTGCGGTGGAAAGTGCTGGCTCACAAAACTCTGAGTGTAGGAGTGGCCTCTAGGTAAGTCCTTAAAGATACACAGGTTCCATGAGTGCTCTGCCCAGTCAAAGACACATGTAACTACCCAGCTCTGCAGTGGCAGCTTGTCCAGTCAGGGCATATGATATGGTCTGCTGTGACCCCTGAATAAAAGGCTAAAAGTCTGGGCTCAATTTAGGAAAAGGGAACCGAGTGAAGCATTTTCTAAAGGCACGGTCTCACCATGTAGCCCAGGCT